AGCTGCAAGGTCCCGCTTCGCTGGGCAAAAAGTAACGATAGTGAAGATTAAGATAATTACATTATAGCCAATCTTACCCGTTTTCACAGAATGCAAGAATTAGGTCCCCCGTTTCCAGACTAATTAGAGAATTTTTATGTCCAGTCAAATGAACTATTTTCAATTTGATCAATTTTCTGGAATGTTTACAATCGTTCTATAATCGAATCAATTCAAATTCGAAAATTTTTAAAATTGAAATAGAAAATCTTCCACTTTCAACCACTTTCAATCCCATATCTCCCGCACCCTTATAGATATTGAGACTCAACCACCATAGTGCACGAATGGAGACTTGGAGCTACTACCACATACAAACACCATTCATGTGCGATGTGTAGTTTTGGCTGAAAAGTGAAATATAGGGACACACGCGTCCATTTATATATATATATATAATGTAATTATTCAATACTTCAGTTTCACATCAGTTATTCTTCACAACACACACAACATTTATTCAATTTTTGTTTAAATTATATTTTTAATCATTAAAATTTTTAAGCTCATATATCTTAATTGCAGAATTTTTTTTTTAAGATTTTTTTTTTTTTTTAAATTTAATCAAAATAATACAATTCTTGACTATTTTCAAATGAACTTAAGAGATATACACATATCTCCTTTACATACATAAGAATATCATATGTAATTGTTGATGATGACTATAGTTGTGTTAATCTTGATCAACTTTTATATTCAAGAAGAAATATCCATTATGGACTTCTATTAATTAAATAAGATTTAATTTTAACAATACAAATTTATTTATAAAGAATTGGTTTGAATTTATGTTTAAAATACATATTTTAATTGAATAATATATTAGTTAATATACTGCTTATATGAATTAAACTTGCTATAATGATTTTTATTTTCTAATAATAATACAAGGTGTTTATAAATGAATGGCACAGTTTTAAAAATTAATAATAAATCTATTTATTACCTTATATGAGCAAACCTTACAGCATAAGCAGTGGCAACTGTCCAAGTTTTTTATGCATTAATTACAATCCTTCAATATGTGCACCCATGGTCACACGACACACATCTACATGGTAATCAAATTCTTCCCATACGCGGTGTAGCATGTCCTCCGTGATGGTCTGCAGTGCATTCTTTATCCGATCACCCAGTTTCTCAAGGGACACAGGCATTGACGGTACATAAACTCAGTCAATGCCCGAGATTAAGGTAATAAATAGATTTATTATTAATTTATAAAACTGCACCATTCATTTATAAACACCCTGTATATTCTGTTTGCAATATTTATATACAGTAATTCTGTCTCATTTGCATTATATTTATTAAAGTTGGGAGTTGATTGTAATATACTTATAATTTTTTTCAAAATTATTGTTTAAGCATATTGTAGTTCATCATATTTTTATAAGAAAATAATGCATTATATTTCAAGAGAGCTAATTTTCATAATAAATTGTGAAATATACAAGAATTGTAAATTTTACTTAATCTAGTATCAAAATCATCAAAATGTGTTTATTTTCTTAATGTGATGATCTGAAAATTCCCTGCTTTCTTTAAAGAAAGAAATCTTTTGTTGTGTTTGTATTATTAGTATTGAGTAATTCCAGCATAAAGTTCCTGTTGTGACAAACAAAATGAGAATAGAAATAAAAAATTTCAAGTCATACTGACAACAAATATTCTTTCCTATGTTTTGGCCAGATAAAATATGTAAGTAAGGGTTACTATTCTTTTAATATAAAATTAAGGAAATGTAGTCATTTTAGTCTTTATTTTTAGATTTTGCTTTTTTTTATTTATTCTGAACATTCCATCAGTCACTCTAATGAAAATTGTAAGTAAACAGAATAAATACATAAGAGAGAAAAAAAATTTTCATTGCTTTTCTATGACAACATGAGTTTAGTAAAATACAAAATATATATTTTCCTTTATTAAGTTTAATTATTTATTTATTTCTTTTAATATTTTATAAAATACATTTTTATGTAGTTAATTTAAAATTATGTATTATAATAAGTTAATGCAATATATTTTGTAATTTACTATAATATGTTACTCAATTCTTCCATCAGCTTATTTTATTTCTATGTAGAGTTTTAATCCCTCACACACTTGTTTTCCAAACTGTTTTCCCCTCTTATTTTTATCTAGTTTTTCTCTATTTTAAGTAGCAAGATTTTCACTTCATAAGCCGTTGCTAATCTTAATGCATTTCTATAAATTTTACCTTTTGTAATCAATGAAACTTGGCACTAGAGGTAATAAATCTTAATAAATCTTTGAAGAATTCTATTAAGGTAACCATAATGATGGTTTATATATATATATATAATACTTCACAAACCTATTTTTTGATTAAAGCCAGACAATCTGATAAATTATTGGAATAATTATAATAAGGCAAAATTAATAATTAGATAAGAAGTAATTTGACAAATTACTTCATATCTAATTATTTACATAGCCTTATTTAGCCCAATAATTTGGCAGGTCATCTGACTGTAACCAAACAGTCAGATAATGATTAGTGCAAAAGAAAAATGAGTCACAGTAATGCTTTCTGAGAATGAGAATAAACATGAATGGGCAAGATGATGTGAGACTTTGTGCACTTTAAAAAATGGTGTGGATTTAGTTAAGAAATAAGAATTTTTATTTTATGCATTTTCCTTTTTTTTTTTTTTTTAATTGGCAAGTGCCAAATTCGACAGATGGCGCTGTTTTTGAGCCAAGATGGCTGCCGAAACAGGTAAGGAACCGACCATGTGTTTGTTCAGTGCCTGAGCCAATTCAGTTTCTATCGGTGACGACTACTGCGAGGATCAAATGGAGAAGAAATCATTGAATTTATGTCAAATTCTAGACTATCGGTATATCGGCGACAGGAAACGTTGTCTTGTAGAAGGTGAAGCTGTTTTTGGATGCTGGGCACATCATATTTTGTGGATTAAACTCTAACAACAACACCGAAGTTCGTGTTGTTGCTTTAGTGTTGCAATCTCAGATATTGGCATTTTAATACATCTCAATTACAGGGAGAATGCATGTGCAAAGTGGGGCTGTCTGGTTTTTGTAAACATGTGATAGCATGTTTGTTACACGTTAACAGATGAGAAGTATTTAAATATTTTAAGCAGTATACACCATGTTCCAATATAAAAACAGTTTTATTTATCATAATAGTTAAAATTAGTGCCAATCTGAAGGCTATTCTGCTGAGTTATTTAGCACTTATACAACATAGGCCAGTCAAAAGTTTGTAGCACACATTACTGATATGTTTTGTGTGTGTGTGTGTATGTCTCATATATCCAAAACGGCTTCACCTTCTATAAGACAGCGTTTCCTGTTGCCAATATAGTCTAGAATTTGACATAAATTCAATGATTTGTTCTCCATTTGGTCCTTGCAGTAGTTGTCACCAATAGAAAATGAATTGGCTCAGACACTGAACAAACACATGGTCGGTTTTTTACTTGTTTCGGCAGCCATCTTGGCTCAAAAACAGCGTCCTCTGTCAGATTTGGCGCTTGCCAATAGCATAAATCTGAAACTGCATATGGCAAGTTTGTATATCATGGGATCAATTTGAGCCAAAGATGTTTTGAAATTAAAGAAAGCTTGTTTGATTATCTTAATAAGCAGTTCTCAGAAGTTAAATTTTACTGTTTAATTTACCTGGTATTTTTCTGTTATATTTCATTTCAATATTGTTTGCCAATTGTTTTGATCTTGTTCATATTCAGCTGTTAATTTCATTCTGTACCTACCTCTCCATCTACAATTAATTTGATTTATCTGAAATATTTCCTCATTTTAATGATCTCTCAATTCACTATGAGGTCCTATCCATTATATTTTTTCATTTCACATTCTATATTACATCTTTGTTTTTTCAAAAAATTTTTCTATCTTTCTCATTTCTGCACTACTTTACCCTCAAATTGTACACATGGCATATCATCAGGGCATCTTTTCTCATACCTTTTTAAGATGTAAGCAAAACATATGGTAAATGCTTGTATGTAACAAATTGATTAAATTTAATACAAATGTGAATTAATTGCTTTCAAAATAGTCTCCTTGACTAGCCACTGTCTATTCCAAAAATTTTGCAACTTTGGAACTGTGGAAATTCTCTGCTATTAACACTTCAAAGTGTTGTCTTATAAGGGAAGACTTGTTTTAAACAATGAATTCAAATAAAAAATGCTGACAAAAATTAGTTCATGTAATAAATTTAAAATTTTCTTTTTCATAAAATAATTTGTTTATGAAATATTAACTTGTGTTTCTGGCTCCATATTATTATTTCAGGTATAAAGTGCTTACTGTCAGGTAGCCAACTGTTTAAATTTTTCATGAAGGAATGTTTTTGTCCTATTTTAGGACAGCTTCATGTTCCTTAGGAGACCTTTATGTTCAACATTCCTTTGTGGGGGGAAATTGAACAGTTGGCTACCTGAAAGTAAGCATTTTATATCTGAAATAATTTGATCATATATAATTTATTTGTAAAATAGTGTTATTTAGTGAAAATTTTATTCATCCTTTTCACTTAATCAGTGGCATAACTGACACTGAATAGTCAGTGACTCAGTTAGAAGGATGGCAAATATTGGATTGTATTAAAACCTGTTAAATAATCAAACTAAATCTTTAATTTGCATACAAACTAATTATATACATACAAAAATGTCTACCAGTGGTTGAGTAGATAAAAATCATTGAACATTTGTAAGTGGTCTCAGGTTTGCTCCTAAACAATGGGCTGGCCACCTAACCAACAGGAGTTTTTTCGTAGAAAGTTCTCCTGAGAGGCATGTTCAGATTTTGTACATTTTAGGGGCAAAAAACTATATTTTACTACTTTACTACAGAGCTTTTATTGAGTACATGTCCTATTCTTGTACACACAAAGAAAGGTAGGTCAGACACAAAAGACAGTTCTATTTTTATACTTGGAGCCATCTGTGGGAAATACCCACAACACATATAGCAGAATTAAAAATATATTAAAATTACATAGATCACAATAGTAACAATAATAATAATTATTATCCCTCTTTTTTCCTTTCTTAACAAGGCACTCTCTTATCATACCATCCATGTGTTGCTTTGCCATATTCAATCAAACCAAATAAAAAAATTTTTAAATCTTAATTCAAATACAGTTGGCTGGATGGCTGAGTATCAGCTTACTACTATGGTGGATCCAGACCAAATATGCACAGTTGAAAAAACCCTAAGAATTTTTTTGGGAGTAGTCTGTCCCAGATATGTTACACCCTGTCCTTCACTGCTTAGTGTCGTTGTGTGCCTGGCTGAACCAACAATGGGTGCGGATAAAAAGTCTTTTTAGTGCCTACAAAACAGAAAGAGTTTAAGAAGAATTCAAATAGAAATGATTCTCTAAGAAATTAAAATAGAAAGGAATAAATGATGATAAAACTCCTAAACATTGTTAAAGCCTATCTCCTACTTTTTTCCACAAGTATTTTATTAATTTCTCAATATTTGGAAACAATTTCAAAGATAATTAATTATATAAAGCATATTCTTATTTTTATTTGTATTTTTGTAATTAATGTTAAAAATATAATTATATTTTTAGAAATTTCACCGATTCCATTGTTTTATATATTTTTTATTGATCAATAATTAATGTTGTTTTTAACAAAAATTGAATAAATCTGGCCTAAGCTTAATTAATTTCTTGTCAGGTTCTGTTTTTGAAGTTTTGACTGCCAAATAGCTTGATTCACAGGTGCTTGGTTATTGAAAAAATTATATTTTTAATATTTTTATAACTTCATTTATTTTGTTTTTATTTTCATTTTTGAAAACCATTCAGCTAAACCTTCTTTACTATGAAGTTAAAATAATGTTAAAATACAAAAATCACAATAGTGAAAGAAGCTATAAAAAACCAAAGCCACCTTCAATGTTGGATTTTACAGAATAAAAGTGTTTTATTACTGGTTATTTATAGTTACAATGTTGCCACAATAACATGTATTGATACCGTGTTTCCCCGAAAATAAGACATCCGCAGAAAATAAGACCTAGCACAGATTTTGCTGAATTGCGAAATATAAGACCTCCCCCTGAAAATAAGACCTAGCGAAGTTTTTTTTAGTCTTAACGATCATCGACATATGGTTGAAATTGGCCGTTGGCTTTTTGAAAGTACAGCCACTGATTGATCATCAGACAATTACGCCACACGGCATGATTTGCATAAGACTATGGCTTAAGAATCACAGATTTGCATAACGTTACGGCTGGTGATGGCTAATTGGTCGGCCGGGAATCACGTCACATCACATTTGCATAGTGCTACGGTTCAGTAAGCACTAATTGGTCATCGAATCCGATGTTGACGCTATAAAAAGGCGACAGTTCGAGACACCAGATATACGTCACTCTCGTCTAAGTTCGACTTGGGAATTTTTTTGTTCAATAATAAATGTGAATTCTTCTTCCTGGAAAAAATAAGACATTCCCTGAAAATAAGACCTAGCGCACTTTTCAGAGCAAAAATTAATATAAGACACTGTCTTATTTTCGGGGAAACATGGTACTAATGAGAAATGTGATAATTTTGATTTTTTTTGAAAATTGTAACAAAATATATATGAACAAACAATTATTTATTGTGACATTGTCACAATGTCATTGCCAGGCTGCAATTTTTAATCATATTTTTTAAAGTTATTTATTTGAAATACAGGTAACCCCATATAACACGGTAGTTACGTTCCAAAAAATTGCCGTGTTATGCGAATCCGTGTTATGCGAAACAAAGAACTAGTACGAAAAGGAGGGTTAGGTTCCAAAAATTAAAAAAACATGCTAGTATATTTTCATAATTAAGATAAATATCTTTATTAAAATTTTCTTAAGTGATACATATTAATATAAACAATGTTTTCTTTGTCATCACTAAAAGCACTATTAACCGAGAGCGTTTTATTTTTGGCAAGTTATCGTTATCCTCCCAGCATTTTTCTGCATTATTTTCAGATTCATGCTTTACCTTTTGCAAAAAGTGTATGTAATTTTAGATTGCTTGCTTCTAGTTAAAAGATCTTTATAAATTTCCTTATATGGTGCTAAGCACTTATGAA